GTCCCGGGTTATGCTGCTCCCCTTAATTACTGCGGCCAACGGCCAGCAGCTGATGAGAGCCCAGGGCTGCACACTTGGCCCCACGGTCAAGTGGACGTGTGCAGCTGCGGCGAGGCCCGGCTCTAGGTGTTGCGACGCATGAGCGAGGAACCCAGAGAGAGCAGCTAGGAGGGCGGGCTGGCTCAGAGTCCTGGGCAAGCTCCGCGCCCCTGAGCATGTGGCTCCCCGGCCTTGTGGTGCACTGGTAAGGGCTGAGGAGATGCTAGCAAGTGACCAGCACAGGGCCTGGCGCTGTGCACGGGAGCAGCTCAGTGTTAGTGGTAAATTCAGCCCATCTTCCACTATCTGACTTTGGGGCTGTCCTACCCCTGCTTCCGTCCCTTTCCTGGGAAGGTGTCTGGACCCTTAGGATCATAGGGGCAGTGAGGAAAGTGACGAGGCAGAGGGAGGAGACATCGTTAAGGCAGGACACGGAGACTGGGTGACCGGGTGTGGGGACTGAGCTCACGCTGCCCTGAGTGGCCGCTGTGTAATCTGGGAGGTTAGAGAACCACAGGGCCGAGGCACGAAATGGGTTTGCATTGTTTCCGCAGAAAGTGAGGCAGCGCCCCCACCCGACCCAGCACGCCCAGTGTGAGGGGCCGGGCAGTGGGAGAAGCACATGGATCTGCCTCTGAGACGGGCCCCGCTCCGGTCCCTGGAGCTTATGTCTGGGCTCTCGGGGGATGGGCGGCCAGGGAGGGGTGTGGGCCTGCTCAGAGAGCCAGGTGCTCACTGGGCTTCTGTGTAGAACGTGATGTCCCAGAGGGCCCCAAGTGGGTCCAGAGAGCCCTCACAGGTTGCCCTCTCCCTGCTCCCCAGCAGCCCTGGTACCTGGACGGAGAAGCTCTCCCTGGGGAAAAGCTTCCATCCTGGGCTCTGGTCGCAGGGAGATGCATGTCATTTGTGTCCTAGGCGTGGCAGCATGCCTGCCCCCAGCACTGCATCATGTGCAGGCCAGGGCAAGGCCAGCACTGGCTTCTGGTGCCCACGGTGGGATGGCCCATGGGGTCCGATGGCAGGGACTGCGTGCTCCTCAGGGGGAAGCCTGGCCCAAGCCCGGGGCAGGCAGAGATCGGGGTGCTGCTGTGGCCACCCCAGCTTAGCTTCTGGGGCAAGAGCAGCGACTGTGGTTCCTCGAGATGTATGTGGGTGAGTGTGAGTGTGTGTCGCCTGTCCAGACCTGTATCTGTTTTGGTAAAAAACCAGACTGTGGACCAGGAAGCAGACAAATTACAGGCTGCCCTTTCTTTGCGCTGGGGAATACCAGCAGGAGCAGAAATAGCCATTGTTCATCCAACAAACAGAAACATAATCCAGAGAACCACAGTGCGAGGCACCGGCCGGCGCCCTGCTGCTGCCCAGTCTGGGGTTTGCGCTTGTCCTCTCCGCTCTGGGGCTTGGAATTCTCCCCTGCAGGCCGAGCCGGGAGTCCCCCGGGGCTTTCTCAGGAGCCACACACAGGGCTGGGCTTCCGAAGGCAGAGCGCAGACCCAGGCAAGGCCATGTGCCACGCAGCAGGAACTTTGCACGGAGGCCACAGGTAGCCTGGGCCATCACTCCACTCCAAATGCGCCAATCGGGAAGTTAGAGAGGAGAAGGACCAAGAGCATCGTTGCAGGGCTCGCCGCAGTTCTGGGATCCTTTTACTCTACAAAAGGCTCAGGACTCCTGGAGCACCTACCTTTGAGCATGTTAGTGCGCAAGGCCCTTTGTATTGTGGCCCAGCTTGAGCCTCCAGACTCCTCTCTCCTGATTATCCTGGCCACCAGAAGCCCCCGCCAGAGCGTAATAGGCATCTGTGGAAGCCGGTGTGGGGCTTTTGTGGCTCACTGGCACTAGCGAGTCAGTCAGTACACAGGACAACTCCCCACGTTGGCTGTCTGGCCGGGCACGTACAGGGCTGCGGAATCGGAGCAGTGCCTTCTCACTTGCCTCCGGGCTGCAGGGACACATTCGTTTTCTGATCAAATATTATTCTGATGCTCAAGGCACCTTTGATGTTTGCAAGTCAGAAAAGTTTAATTACATGTGTCATTAGGATGGCATCCGGTAATAGCTCTGTGACTGAATTCATTAACAGAATTCTTAACAGATAAGACAAGACAAATTAATATTTTGTTGCCCATGAAAACGTCTCATTAAGAGAGTAGTGAAAAAGTGATTAATATTTTGTTGCCAATCAAGATGTCTCAGACAAATGACAAAAAAGGAGGCCCACACCTCTTTGTGCTCTCTAATCTCCCTAGCTCGGTTCTGAAGGCAGATCCACTTCCCAGTGGGTCACTAATGATGCCACTGCCACTGCCACCAGGGATTGTAATTCATTGCTCAGGATGGCGGGAGGGGAGTGCTGGGATTCCGCAGACTCAGGGGTTCTAGGAGCCCCATCAACCCCGGAATCTTTGCTCCACAGTGTTGCTCTCCTGGGCTGTTCTCCCCTGACCAATTCTTTTTTTTTTTTTTTTGGTACCGGGGATCGAACTCGGGTCCTTGCGCTTGCGCAGCAGGCAGTGGAACCACTGAGCTAAATCCCCGGCCCCTGACCAATTCTTGGTATGAAAATGTCCCGTGGCTCCTGAGGATGTGGCTCTGTCTTCTCACTGTCCTCAAGAGGGTTTGCCACGCCTTTGGGCCCCAGGCACTTCCTGTCAGTCCAGAACGCCTGAGCTGGCTGGACACCACCATCTGCACTTCCCCGTCGGCTCAGCAAAGTCCAGTGCTGCTTCGGATAGCGGAGGCGGCTGGTCGGTGTCTCTCTCCCCGGGTGAACCAAGGCTGATGAATCAGTGTCGTCCCCAGCCCTTACTCCAAGCCACAGGGGAGCTCTGAGTTGTAGCTGCCTGCCTGGGAGCCTGCTAGGCTGCTGCGGGCTGCTCCTTGGGGATTCAGGCTACAAAGTACTGAGTTTGTTGTTTAACGGCAGCTATAGCAATAGGATTAATGATAATGTTTGGCCTTTATGTAATATTATATGCTAAGAATGTTACCTGTGTCGTCTCACTGAATCTTCACTGTTATTCTACGAGGCAGGTACTATTATTTATCCCCATTTCACAGATGAAGAAATTGAAGCTCAGAGGGGTCAAAGGTCCTTTCCGAAGTTACTCAACCAGTAAGTGGCGCAGCTGAGCCTAGAGGTCAGGCTCCTCTGGCCCTGGGACCTGTACTCTCTCTAGCAGACTGTGGCCTACTTCCCCGTGGCAGAGGGAGGTGTGTGTATTTTGTGCACTTTATGTGTGCTTGCATGCATTTACAGGCTGCTGACTTAACAGCAGCGTTTGCTAGGAAGTAATGAGGGGCCATTAATCTTTGGTTGTACCCACAATTATCCAAATTGCTAACCTTATTGTGAAAAGTAGAGATGCAATTGAGCTGGTGCTGCAGGCATGTTTGAAGGAGGAGAAAAAACTCTCAAGGTAATTTAATTAGCTGATGGAAAGTACATTAAGAGGAGTTTTGCCTCTGCCTTTGTTCTGGGTGTCCTCAAATACAGCATCAAGTAACGCGCACGGACACTGAGACAGTTGCAGGGGGTCCTGTCCAAGCCCTCATTCAGTCATTACTGGACAGATGCACTGAAGAGTGGACACTCCACCTTGAGAGCTTTGGCACACACAAATATGCACGCACACACACACACACACACACACACACACACTCGGCCACGCCCAACTCTTTACAAATAGGACAGTGAGCCAGCCCAGGCGGGCTCAGGCCTAGAGGACCAAGAGCTTTACCCAGCCAGTGCCAGCACTCTGGCCTGAGCTGCACTGACGGTCAGAGAAGTCTCGGAGCTGGCTGTCCGCAGCACAGGAAGCAACCCCGCCCTGCGACAAGGGGCATCCTTTGCCCTCCAGAGTGGTTTTCTCTTTTCATCTTCATCCCTGCATCTCCAGGGTGCAGTCGGAGGGCCTAGAGAGTCGCAGAGTCCCAACTTTGGGGGCTCCTGGAGCATTTCAGGCTGGACTGCTCTCCTCAAAAGCAGTCTCAGCACTGGAAGGACCTTCAAGGTCATGGGCTTTAGCTGCCCTCTTGTGGCCAGCAGCACTGTTGGCTACTTGAGCTTGGATGGTCCAAGGGATGGGAGGCTCACTACTTCTAGGGATGGCTCCCTCCACTGTGGGGCAGGGCTGATGGCTGGCATAGTGCTCTGTCTAGACCTGCGTCCCTTATGGGACAGCCCTTGGTCCTGTGTGCTGGTCCAACCCACGGGGCCACATGGCTCAGGTCACTCCCTCTGCCCCATTCCCTCTAGATGTTTGCCCACGGGTCTTCTGTATGCGGGCAAGCACCCCATGGGGCATCTGTGCTGTCCTGAGTCCAGGAGACCAGGGCACTCCCCTCTTCTGCCTGAAAATTATATTCCTGTTTTGCTGCCCAAGCCCAACAGCTGTCCTGGCAACTCCCCTTGTGGGTGACATCACTGTCCTCTCCCGTGAACTTCTGGGAAGCCGCACCACCCCTCGTGCCAAACCCGGACCAATAAATACACTTGAATTATTCCACTTCTTCAAGTCCAGGGGAAGGGAGGAATGGCTAATGTTGCTTTTCTTATAGATCGATTCCCCAAGGATCAGCAGGTTAAAGAATTAGTCATCAAGTGCATGTAGGTGATGTCAGGACCCCAGCCCGGCCACTGGTGTCCTCAGAGACAGAAGATACCCTGCTGGCCACACCTGGCTGTCTGCACTCAGCTGCTCCTTTCTGCCAAGCAGCGCCACTGGAGTCAGGGGTGGCGAACCTATGGCATGCGTGCCACAGCGGGCTGCTTATCTCATTGAAAGCTCTAAAAGGTTCGCCATCACTGGCTTATGCCATCAAGCCCTCATTCCCTGGTCTGGCAGAGAACATCCCCGAGGCAGGTCCCTCCCGCTGGCCTCTGCCATCACTACACACTTTCCCACGCAGCTGACTTTTCCGGGAGGTCTGCCTGACTCCAAAAGTGCCAGCTGACTTACATTGATGTCTTCCAAGTCCAGGAAGTTCAGGGTGAGCCCGTTGCGCTTCCAGACGATGGGAGGCCTCAGGTCCCCGCGGATGGCGCAGGTCAGCACCGAGCTCAGTCCCACGGTCACGGTAGTCACACTGACCCTGTCCTCGGGGGCAAGGCTGAGCTGAATCACCTCTGTGGAGGGAAAGGAGACGGATTCAGCTGTGGTCTGGGGGCACGGAGTCTCAACCCCAAGCCAACGGCCGTTAACTTACTCTGGGACGGGGCCCAGGAGGGCGAAAGGCCCCTGAAAATGCTAACGGTGCTGATTAAATGTGCCAATGGGCATGTTGCTGCGCTCTGAGTCAAAACGGGATCCACAGCTGATGTGAAGAGCAGCGCATGGGCGTGGGGTTTCGAGTGGAGTCAGAATGCTGGCTGCCAGGACCCCGAGGCTGTGGGACAGAGAGCAGGGAGTGCGGCCCAGAGCTCCGGCCTGAGGAAGCTGGAGCCCTGCCAAGTGCAGCCCAGGTCTCCGGGGTGGGCCGGCCGGGGTCTCGTCCATCTGGGGCAACGCCAAGGCTGCACTGTCAGCACTGGGGAGCGAACTGCCTGCCCTTTGCAGGCTTATTTCTGCCTGAAGATTCATGGAACTTGGAGTTGCATTTCTGTTATGTGACCATGCACTGTGGCCTTTAATTTTCCAAAGTGTACTTCAGGCTGACCAAGTTATGAATCCTTGCCATTTTACACTTGATAACTGGCATTAAAACGAATCATTCTTTCGGCAAATGGGCAGGGTCTAACGTATTTCCCGGCCATTACAGGCTTTTTTAAACTCTTGGGATTCCTGAAAAATTCCCCAAACTTGGGCTGCTCAGACGTAAAAATAGGCTCAGACTTGAGGGGGCAGTCACCAGCCCATGAGGGGACCGGCTCTGCCCCCGATCTGCACACTTGGAGGTCACACAGCGGGGAGGGGCAGGCGGGCTGTGAGAAGCCGGTTCACCCCAGCTACGCCCTGGGGCGTGGCGGCCGGCTGGTGTGTCGCACAAACACAGGGGACAAAGCACAGCGCTGGGAGCTGGGCCCGGACTCAGCGGACTCAGCGGGAGCCTTGTGAGCTGTGACCGGCAGCACCTCAGGCCGGCGCAGAGCAGCCGAGCCCCGCCCACTAACACGCAGCGGCCGGGCTCGGCCGCACGAAGACGAGCGATTTGGACGCCCGCTGCTTCATCGGCGCTGCGCTGCGGATGGAGGGATGAACAACGGAGAGATGGAAATAAACAAGCAGAGCAGCCAAAGGCCAGTGGGGAGGGGCGAGCCCACGCTGGGAAAGTGCGACTCGGCCGCGGGAGGAGAGATAAGCACCAGGTGATGGATGCAGATGAGACGGGCGTAATATTTCACAGACATTAAAGCGACCGGACTTCAAGTTCCCTCTTAAATCACATCCTGCTTGCGGCTCTCCGCCTGTGAGTCACAGTCACGAGGCTGACTGCTCAGGGAGGAGGGAGCAGGCGCCACCTCCCCGCGGCTAGGGCTAGGCCCGGGCTGCCGAGATGGGTGGGAGTGAACCTGTGGAAAGGGTTCAGCTCCCGCTGTACTTCCGGCTCGGGACTCCAAGCCCAGCTCTCGAGCGTGGAGAGGAGGACTCTGTCCTCGTCGGGCGGCCATGAGGCTCCATGCTCTGCAACCAGGGAGGGATGAGGATGTCCCTGCTGTCCCAGGGGGTGGCGGGCATGGGGAGGGAGACGGGGTGTGTAGGTGAGGGGTCCCGGGGGCTCTAGAAGGAAGCTGCTGTCCCCCACAGCCTGCTCCCTACCCTCAGCTGGGTGCTGAGAGCCCACGGTGGATCCCAGACTGAGGCCCTGGGCCCCCAGGGGTGCTCCTGGCAGTGGGGACGCAGGAGGCCCAGGCTGGCTGGGGAACAGTGTCCTGGCCACAAGCTCAGGCCGACAGCTCAGCTAGGCCCGAGCTCAGCTGTGAGCGCCCTGGGAAGGTCAGCCGGGGCCTCACCGTGTACACCTAGGCCGCAGAGGGTGGGGGTGGAAGTCGGGCACGCCCACACCGGAAGCCTCCTGGGTCCCTGGAGGCGCCGTGGCTGGGGGCGGTACGCGCCCCCCCCCTTCCTTGCCCATCTTTTGCATGCGTGAAGATGTACACTTCACAGGAAAAACTTGCTTGAAATGAGAATGCGTGCATACTGTCAGAACCTTCGTAATTCTGCTCCTGTCAGCTACACAAATATTAACCAAACAGCAAATAGTTGGATCATTTAAAGTTTCATTAAATGAATGTTTTATTGGATTTAATTTATGTCAATATTCCCCCGCTCCTTTTAAAATTCGGGAGAGATTTATGGCAACTGCACCCTCTCCCTCCAGCCTCCCTGCCTTGTGCTTAGGCTCCCAAGCCCTGCCTGGAGCCCTGTCCCCGGCAGGCAGTGGTGAGACCAGGGCTGACTCTGGGGTGATCACCAGGGGAGCAACATGAGACCACATCACGCGGGGCCCAAGGGGTCAGCACAGACAGAAGAGGAGGTGGCTCTTAGTTTCCACAGTGGGGACTCTGAGAGGGCTGCAGGCCTCCTGGGCCCTAGGCAGTGTCATTTGCAGTGTCTGGCAGCAGAACATGGCGGCACTCGCCTGTCATCCCAGGATTCTCCGAGGCTGAGGCAGGAATATCCTAAATTCAAGCCCAGCCTGGGCAGCTTAGTGACTTGGTAAGACCCTGGCTCAAAATTTAAAAAAAAACAAAACACTAGGGATGGAAAGGGGTCAAATCCTGCCCCCGAGAGCCCTGGGAAACAGAATGGTTTCCACCTTCTCCTCTGGAGCCATCACTGAAGCAATCCGCTGGCCGGATTATCTTGCCCGGCCCAGGGCCAGGGGCTGGGTGTTGGGAATGATGTCAGAGATCCAACAGAAGGGCAGATCGACACCCTACAACCACACTGGGATGTAAGAGGGCCTTTGTGTCCTCCTTCCGTCCCTATAACACGCATCTGGGAGCCTGGGCTTCGTGCGCGGTCAGGGAACAGGGGAGTCACACTGTGGGGACTACGCTGTCCATCCTGACTGAGGCGAAGCCCAGCCACCCCCATCCCCAGAGAGCCCTGGGAGCAGCTTTCTTGGGGAAGGGCTGGTGGTGGCCGTGCGGCCCAGCTGGGGACCTCACAGTCCTCGTGAGCCTTCCCCAGAGGTGGGGCAGGTCCTGGGATGGGTGGGCTGCCCTTAGTCCATGCGTAGCGATCACATTCCTCTGACCCTCACCCTTGCTGCAGCACAGATGAGGGCAGGGGACCAGCTCAGTCCAGGCCCGGTCCTCACCCTGCTGGGCACCCGGTGACCTGAGAGGAAGGTACAGAAGGCCAAGCAGCTCTCCAGGCAGCTGTCTGACAAAGGGTCACCGAGGGGCCCTTCCAGCTCCTGCAGGCGCTCTTCCTAGGGCGACGGACATCAGTTTCTTTGGCTACTATGGGTGGAAGTTTCTAGGGCCTCTGGGAAACCAAGCAGCAAGACTGGCCTGCCACTCAGCATAAGGAGGGGACAGTGAGTGGGCTTGGGCAGAGGTGACGCTAGGTCTGGGGCCTGAGGATGTGTCCGCCTAAGGGGCTGTTGTCCTTGGCAAGAAAGGACCTGGCTGTGGTTCAGAGTGGTCCCTCAGGGCGGAGCTCTGTCTCCACAAGGAGGTGATGCCCCTGCTCTGAGAAGCGGCACTAGAAAGCTGCGTGGTGAGCAGGGAACTCGAGGGGGACAACCAGGTTGGGGGTGCTCGTAGCTCAGATACGCATCTCACTGGGGGTCAGATCTTCCAGCATCTGGGGCTTCTCTTGCTTTCCCCTGAGGCAGGAGGCAGAGGGAGAGACGCACCGTGCTGAGGTCTAGTCTGTGGGGTGGTTAGCAGCAGACGGACCTTCCTGGGCCACTAGCCAGGCGTTGTGTCCTGCAGTAGCTGTTGGGCAGTCCATGCCTCGCATGGTGCCTGGCTCACATTAGGTGGGGCTGAGGCCAAGACCCCTCTCTGGGGCCCCCGACCACAGCAGCAGCATGAGGTGTTCCGGACACCACCCCTCACCTGCCGCTGTACATTTGAACTTGGAGAGGAAGGGCAGCTGTAGGAAATGAACGAGCCTTCTATAAGCAGGCTAACAAACATCTTTCCTGATAGCAGGAGGCCATACAGTTTTAGTTGGTGGAGAATTGGGTTTTAGTTCCTATTACAGCTTTCCCTTCATCTCAGGCGCTATTTCTCGCACTGACTTGAACTCGATGAGACACTCATAAACCCATCAGCACCCACTCAAATAGGACTCTGGGACTGGGTAGCAGTAGAAATTAAATTTTTCAAATTCTTGTCAAGTCGGTGTTAGTTTTCTTATGTCAGAAAGGTACTAATGGAACACATTCCTACCTGGACATTGCCATTTTTCAAATGATGCTCTCGGTGAAAAGACCCTGTCAAAAGCTCAATCAACCTGCCCATCAATATTTTTGACAGAGCCTTGAAGGGTAAACCTAGGTTCACCTGCTCGAGAATTAGGGCCACTCACAGGGTGATCCTGGGCCAGGCACTTAGGCTGGGTCAGAGGCTGCAGCCTCTCCTCACGTGTTGCCTCCCTGGAACCAACTCTTGAGGCAACCTGGGAGCCACCAATGTAGTGTGACACTTACGAGATCGAATACTGATTTGAGCTGGCCCTGGTCCTGTGAGCAGGGCCACACTGTGGAGTTGGGGAGGGCAGAGAGCGTGCCACGTCTCCTGACCAAGCAGGACTTCAGCTAGCATTGCTGAGCGGGGCTGCTCCTGCTCTCCGGGGGCACTGTGCTCAGGGTGGGCCTGTGCTTTTTGTCTCCTGTTTTCTCCACCAGAGAACTGCCACCCTGGGCTCCTTTTAAACGTGGACGGGAGGCTGGGGACAGGTTTTTGGCCAGACGTGTCCAAAGCCACCTAAAGGGCACCTGCATGCATCTGAGAGTTCCCCTTTCTTTATGCATTATCAGTTTCTGTTTTTCTGTTATTGTCACAGTTCCCCTTGCTTGCCTCATTGTGGAGATGGCAACAAACTTCTTAATCAATTACCTGCAGATCTGTCAGTAATTTACTTGTTCAGTGGCTCTGTGCTGCTCAGTGTTACTTCCACCTTTATTACAGGTTACATCACGTTGTGCTGTCTGGTGTAAACGTCGTTT